TCTAAAGATTTATAATCATTTGACAATGAAAACTAAACATTCTTACTGTTTTTGATAATTAAATCCAGAACCTCTAAAAATAACAATCATTTATTTAACCACTGAGTTAACTTAATTTTTGCTTATCATCTTTCAAATCCAATTTATGAAAAATAATATTTTGCTCTCGTAACACCTCTTAAATAATCACATCATAAATTAGATTAAAAATATCATATAAATTAATTAAAATTTAATCAAAATCAAATAATCATTAAATATTAACTAATGGTCATGCAGAATTGACGTTATTATCGACGATTAAGTCAGTTTCAACATGATAAAAATAATGTTCTTTACCCTGTCGGAAAAGCAAACACAAATTTTTGTCTGATTCATACACGCACAAGTCTCATTCACAAGGTAATAAAACTTCTACCCTCTTACCTTGATTTTTGTTATAAATTAAAATATGGCACTTTTTATAAATTATAATATTTAAATTATTTAAATCTCAAATCTTGAATCTACAGTATTCTTATCATTATAGTAGATAAGACTCGGCTTGCATTACTTTGATTAATTGAACTATATTTTATTTTTTAAAACTTTTTTTCTAGTTTATTACAATAATAACAACAGCCATAACTCTTATCGTTTTTTTTTATACTCTTATAACACCTTTTCTCTGTTTTTATAGTATATTCATTTAAAATTAAATTTGATTTAATCTCTTGAACTAGTGTTTATTTAGTTATCTAATTAATCTATTTTTAATTCTAATTCTCAAATTAGATATTTCATATCGATAAATTTTCTCATATTTTTAAAATTATATTATATATCTATTTGATAAAATTGTCTATTGTTATTAATTTTAAAAAACAATAAACTGATCCAACTTTGTCATAATATGCGTACGACGTAACTTCCGTTGTCCAATGTTAAAGAATAATCAAAGCATTCAATTTAGTTAAAGAACATAGTCGCATAATACAAATACATAATCATGACGAAATGAAAACAATTGACAGTCGTTCATTTAATAATAATTTAAAACAAATATGCGTAGAAATAATAACCCATACCCAATCTTGTATGTGTTATTACGAATAAAATTTATTAATATGTCTGAAATATGATTTATCTATTTGACATGTTTCGTAAAAATAATTTTAAAATAATGCAATTTAAATTACATTGATACTAGTCTTTGATAATTTTAAAACACTTGTCGAATGTAACTAACATGTCTTAGTATCTGTAATACTGCTTTTCTAATTTAAACTATGGTTGGGTTGTCTGCTATATATGTTATCAAGGAGTTTTTTATTTGATACATAAGGAACAATTAATTTCATATATGGAGTTTTATATTTGTTTTATTTGGTTAATATAGATAAAATGTTATGCGTAATATATCATAAATTTTGAAATATATGCATTCGCCTAATTAATTGTTACCTTGGGACCTAATTTTCATATAATATGCCAGTGAATGGTTGTAAATTTTGAATAAAAATATACTTTATTATATATGAGATTTATAAGTGAATTTTTTAGCTATGTTGTTATGTATTTCTAAGTAAACTTATAACAAGGATTAGGAGACAAAATATATAAGAACAATGAACTCCCGTATTTCAATAGTGTTGCTTGAGTATTATAATATTTTAATAAATAAAAATAATAGAGTAATATTGAATAATTGAAAATACAAGTTTCAAGTGCAAGACAAAATCATCAAACAGTTGGGCATCGTATATTTTCCAGAACGCAGCGATTAGGGCCCCAAGGATAGATAAGACATTTTGACTTGTACCTAACCAAAACAAAAGGCCTCTTTGAATTTGACATCAACCTGTTTCATTTTCTTCAGCCCTACATGGCCCAGCAAGATACTCATATTAGAGAGAGTTTTGCATTAACCGCAGGGCTCCACGTGTACTTTTGATGAATTATTAATCGTCAGATCATAACAATCACATAACCATCATCGCTTTCTATGAAGTTGACGTGTTGCCCTCTCAATGGGCTGCCGTACCGTATGGAACCCCCATGCTTTGACGTCTCAACATATTGTGTTCTCTTTTCTTGGGTTAATTTCGCGTGAAGCCCTCGAGCCATGGTGCCATTTACATTTAAATTACAAAAAACATTTTATTCCGTCAATAAACCAAATCAATATCACTATTTTTATTCATATTAATTTATAGTCATTAAAATCATTTAATTACAATTCTATTATTTGATTAACGATATTAAGGTGACAATTAAAACATTAAATTTATTAGGTAATTATTTAAAGCTACAAAACATTTCCATGACCCAGCAAACCGCTCAAAATTTTCAAAATTTTGTATTAATAATCTATTTTCATCACTTCTAAGATTTTATAAGTTAATTCTCTTCTAAAATTTTATAATTTGATCTCTCAATATAAAATTTTACGTCTATATTTGTAGGGGTATTCAAATAACCGAACTAATTCGGTTAACCGATCGAACCGAATTAGTTTGGTTAATTCGGTTCGGTTACCGAATTAGTTCGGTCGGTTAAGGGTTAAAAAAAATTTTAGAATTCGGTTAACGGTTAATTCGGTTCGAATTCGGTTAATTAACCGAATTAACCGAAATTAAATTTTAAATATTAAATATATTATATATAACATATGGGCTCAGCCCAAACCATTTAAAACCCAATTAATAATTTAAGATCCAATAACTTTTAAACCTAAATCAATATTAATTAATTAAAAAAATTATATAAATTTTTTATTTTATAATTATATATTATTTAAATTAATTGTAAACTGTTTTTTTAATTAAAAAATATTAAATATATTATATATAACATTTGGGCTAAGCCCAAACAATTTAAAACTCAATTAATAATTTAAGATCCAATAACTTTTAAATCTAAATCAATATTAATTAATTAAAAAATTTATCTGGAATTTTTATTTTATAATTATATATTATTTAAATTAATTATACACTTTTTTTGAATTAAAAATATTTAATTTTTATATAAATTAGAAATTTTAAAAAAATTTCGGTTAATTCGAAAATTAACCGAATTAACCGAAATTAATTCGGTTCGGTTAATATGTTTGAAAAAAAATTCGGTTCGGTTAACGGTTAAAGAAAAAAAAATTCGATTAATTCGGTTAAGGGTAGTTCGATTCGATCGGCCACCGTTTTAACCGAATGAACACCCCTATATATTTGTATGAAACGAATGTTGCATCAAATTGTCAGCAAATTTTACGTCCATTTATCCTGTTGTCGGATTGATGTTGCAGAGCATAGGGTAGGAGACAAGATAAATTAGAGCCAAGTGATATTTTGAGCTTTGAAGTGAATGACTCAATTTGTCAATAGTCTGTGCTGCTGCGGAATGGCTGCTACAGATTTTTCTTTTGGATTCATTTTTTGGACCACTAGTGACGTGTTTTTAGACACATCAAAATCATCTTATTATCAAATACCTGTTTTCTAGTGCTCATTAAAAATTGTTCGCTTTTTACGGAGATGAACGTGCACATGTTTGGTACGAGTCCCGTACCCGCTATGAGAGTTTAATTCTACTCTTCTCTAGTGTTGGCTGAACCATATATTGTATAGTTGTTGACAACACGAACAATTTTAGAAATGTGTTGGGGTCTCACTGAATTATGTGTAGAATCGTAGAATTAAATTGATTGCTCTAAGAATAGTTGGGCTCTAAGAAATGTCTTGGATGCCAGACGATGGCGAGTCGATAGACAAGATTTAAGGTGCAGTAAGATCTGAAAGCTTGGTTAAAAAAGAAAGTAAAATTTGAATAGTAAGACTGAAACGACGCCTCCATCAGATGAAAGAACAAATGAAGTCTTCAACAGCTGAAGGCCTCAAGGGCCGAGGAAATTAGAGTAGAAGGCCCACTTAACTAGCAATTGCGGAATCATTTTGGGCTTTTGCCAATCCTTAATCTCTGTTTGTGGCAAGCATTTGTCTATTAAATGATTTTAAAGTGAAATCAAATCAGTTGAATTATTCTATCATTAATATTTGATTTACTCTGATAATTTCAAATTAATAATTATTTATTTTATACTTTTTATTCTTATTCTTACTTTTGGTTGCATTAATTAACTTTACAATAGAATTCATTTAATTATATTAATTTTATTCTTTAATTGGTATGGATTATTATAACGCTAATGTGACAGTCTAATATGTTGACATGATGATCTATTATGCTTATGTGTAAATGATGACATAATAAGCGAATTCAATTATTTTTAACTTAGTTCAATGGTTTAATTAATTAATTTATAAAGTTCAAGAACTTATTTAATCTTTAAGATAAATTAAGGAAATTTTAAAAATATTATAATTACTAAAAAATAAATATAAAATTTGGAAATTTAATAAATAAATAAATAAAATCATCATCATTTTAATATTTTAAAATTTTAACAATATCAGCTTTTAATTAGAACCAATCATGTACTTAAACTCAGATAAAAATTAATTATATTATTGAATTTAGTCAAAAATCAATTAAACTCTTCTAACAAATTAATTTTTATTGTTAATGGTGATTATTTGATGAATGAATAAAATTAGGTTAATCATATGAGATAAATCACTCTTAAGTTGTTATATAAAGTCAATTATTAACGTATTATTATCATTATAGTTATTTTTATATTGATGTTAATGATATTTATCATTTATTGCTTATAGTGGTGTTTATTTGTATTTTTTTTATTTGTTTAATGTTTTTTGAGATTATTTTTTCATTTGAAAGAATGCACGGTGAAAATAGGATAATATGTTTCCAAGTATTCATTTAACGCAACGTGTTTGTTTCGTATCTCTAAATGATTCAGTACAGAAATACATTATGATTGATTCAGAGACATTATCAAATAATATATCAAAATTAATTCATTCAACATTTGAATCATTCATTATTTAATCATTTTAAAATAAACAAACATCCTTTGTCACTGCTCACTAACGCGACAAAATCATTTTATCTCTTGGCTTTCGTCTACAATTTGTGTTTTCCCACATCCAATCAGTTAAAACCCATTCAGTCTGTGTTCTCAAAGTTGATGTGGGCATCCTCTCGAAATTCTTCTCACCCCTCAAACAAGGTACTTCTCAGTTCTTTTTTCTGTGTTTTCTGGCTGTTTGTCTATCTTTTTATCTGTACTAATTGATAGTACTTCAGAGATATCAGAAGCTACAAAAGCAGAAAAGGGAATTATGAGGAGTAAGTTTCAAACCCAAAAACTTCACTCCAGGCCTTGTTATTAGTTTCATATTTGGATTTGTCTAAACCCACTAAAACCCTTTCCAAGAAGAAGAATTTCCTACCTGGAACGCATCAAGAACATGACTTTGTTTCCTCAAATGCTGACCGAGAACTTAAGATGGTATGTTTTTTCCTTCCTTTATATTGCTACATGTTAAAGTTTTACATATTTCCTACTATAATTGTTGAGGATAACAAATGTCATGGCATTTTAGTGTATTTAGACAGCTTTGAAGACTGAATTTCTTTTAGTGGAGAAGGGAATGATTTTGTGGGTGAACTTGTTTTGATGTAATTAATCCCAGAAGCTAATTTTGCGTCTCTTCCTCTGAATCCCTAACTTTATTGTATATTTGCATCTGCTTTTCTGAATTAGTTGAGTTAAATTTGTCTTTATGATTAGTAAATTAAGCATCTACCGGCAAGTAATGACTAATGGTATTCATAAATTCTGAACTTTTGAGTCTTGAACTGCTTATGGCAGGTTATGGTGGTTAGACAAGACCTTAAGATGAAATCAGGGAAGATTGCATCTCAATGTGCCCGTAAGATTCTTCTGCCACTCTTAAAATTTGAAATTTTGCTTTTGATTTTAAAATCTACGTCTGTTTGGCTTTACTAACATTAGCTCGGCTCTCCCAACCGTCACGTTTCCATATGTCCTAACCCTCGATTATTTGACTGGATTTTTCCTGCCCAAATATACAGATGCTGCCACTGGCATGTATGCAGAATTGATGCATAAGCGTGTTTCTCTTGATAACAAGTCAGTTTCTTAATTCAAGGTCCACTTTGTGACCTTGCTTTGTTGGAAGATAAATTAGTCCGCGTTAGTTACTTGTGCAAGTAAAATTATCTGGTCAACAATAAATCATGTAAAATCATTGCAATGATCGATCCCTTCTAAGACAATGCGAGGATTGTGGGCAACCTAAAATAGTCCTTACATGCAGGAATCAACACGAAATGTAAGCAGGTGATTTTGTTGGGAGTGGCTGGGGTGTGGCCGTGTGTGTCAACTTATGATGTCCGTATTTGTATAAGCTCACTTCCATTTTCTTGTCAGGAATAAGTTAAGGGAAGCAGCTGAGAATATTGGCCTTCCCACTTTTGTTGTTGCTGATGCTGGAAGAACACGGTATTTTCCCTCATCATTTGTGTGTAATCTCACAATTAGATAACTTGAATGTAATGGCAACTTATAGGTCTAAATGTATATCTGAACCACAGCATCCTGATGTGACCTATTACCGAGTCATTTTAAGTTGTTTGAGGTTTAATTTATTGGAATTTGATCTTTGATTACTAAATGCTTAGCGCATATCATTCGAAAGAAAATTTTGTGGCCAAGGTCTCATGACAACTTTATTTAGCAGGTTTTGGAAGGTCGAAGACGTTCTAGCCATGGGACCTGGTTTGCTTCTTTTATATTTTCTTCTAAAACTGTTGTAGTGGCTTATCTGTGATAAATGCTTTGTTATATGCCATGATGAGTCCATTGCTTAGTAGATGAAGATTGTACAAGATATGATCACATGCGACTTCCTCGCTTATGGATGTTGCAAATTCATTTTCACCTTCAGCAACCAAAGTAATAAGTTTATTTTGTTTATTTTATGGTACATCCTTTTTGTGATTGTGTCTAACCAAAAGTGGCAGTTGATTCAGTGACAGGAAAGTTGAACTCACTCTAATGTTGTTGAAGAAATAAATCCCCTGATCATTGGCCTTCCACATTCCGCTGTCGGGAGTCTAACCGCTTCTCAACTAGTATGCCTCGGAGGAGGAATATCCTTTGGTGAATTGTGGTAGGCTGTGGAACCTGGTTAGACATGGAACAAGCAGCGCAACAAATGAAAGTAGTCAGCAGATGAGGATATGTCCAACCATTCATTAGGAGTTGGAAATGCCAATTGAAATTGTTGCTAGAAAACTAGAATGCCCATTTCTTATATGCCTAACCATTGATGAGGCTGCTTTTCCTACAATAAGCTTGTTAGGTAGTGATATTCAATGGAAATTCAGGTGATAATGCTGTTATTATTATCATTATTTTGAATAATATGAGGTGATTACAAGGTTAGTGTCTCCTTAGAACCTTTTTAATCAATTGACAATGCACACATCCGGCAGACATAACCGTTCTAATCCTGCACCTTTGTGGAGAATAACATTCCCTTTTACTACTGATGTCACTTGATGGGTACAATAACAGTGTTATTATTATTTGAACTATTCTAATAAAGATGGAAACTCAATTTAACATTCTTCTCCATTTGATTAGGAATACATTACTGAACACTAAATTTTAGTCGGACTCGGTCCAATTTGGTTAAGAACTATTTCTCTAAGTAATGTATGAAAGAACAACCGCATGACAAAAATCAAACTACAATTTCAGTCCTTGTTATTTTCTTTTATTTCATTTTGGTCCTTGCTATTGGGAAGACATTGGTAAATTTGGCATTAAAATTGCCGATAGCTGCGCACGACTTTGATAGTCATTGGAAGCTGTCAGCGACTTCCAAATTTAAAAATAAAATCCTAGTTTTCAATCAATACACAATGATTTTAACCAAAACCGACACGATGAATTTATTTTTACTATAGCTTAATAACTTTTTTCTCTAAGTAACGTGGGCTTAACCTAAAACACTAAATTTTTCTATGGACAATATTTCTCTTAAAAAGCCAAATGAATATCATATTTATTGGGCACTGACCAGCCTCTGTCATTTCGTTTGTTTTAACAAACAAGACGAAGGAAATGAAGAAAAGGTTGAAATGGTGCGATTATTTTATACATTATAGTTGATTAAAAACTGATTTTGCAGGCCTATGGGACTAGCATTGCCTAGGATCGTGCATAGACAGTAGCATCGTCAACGAATAATGTAGCTCATGACTGATCATATAGCATATTTTTCCCATTAAAATCTCTCAGCTTGATCCCAATCCTTATTCCCATCACATGCTGCATGGTTTACTATACATATTCTCTAGTTCATGGAATAAGTTCTCTTTGTAAAAATCAAACACAGAAGACCTAATTTTCTATATATTATATTCATCAAAACCTGAATTCCCGTGTTCATTATGTTTCTGTAACAACTGTACTTTTATTTATTTATTTTCATGATTCATTGTTGAAGTCTCCAAGCGTGGGCAATCTTGTGCAAAACAAAGACAAATTTTATAAATTTATTTCTATCATAAAATTTAATTTTGTATGTATCCTGAGAAGAAGAGTAAATAGTATTTGCAGAAAATGATGTTGCCTGTAATGGTATCGGCATTGATTTCATCAACATCCTCTGTACGTGAAACTTAAAAGCTACTTCACCATCAGCGTTTCATTTCACTGAAATTTATGTTGATAATTGAGCATCGTAGAGCTGGTATTAAACAATAATATATGTTGTCATAGATGATCAGATACATGTGCCGCCCGATTCTCCTGTCGTGCATTGCTTGCACACTGACCTTCAAAACGTCAAACCTTGTAGCTAGGACCTTAGCCCTTGAAGAAAGGGACGCATTTACGTTGATCTGCCGGTGGGGATGAACCATGGAGATTATGTTTCGTGTGTCTTCAGTCAATTAGAAAAACAACTACTCCATGTGAGGCCTACGAATTCATGCAAACTAAATTAATAATTAATGTGTTGATGACTTTTTCTTACTCTATTTTTGTTTAATTTTCCGCCGATGAAAGGGGGTCGCAAAATGTAAGAGGAACTGAAGGGTCGTGACTCGTGCCCCCTTCTTAAAAAACACTATTTATTTTAATATATATATAGTTGGTCTTTATAAATTTATATTTAAAAAAAAAATTAGTTCATAATCTGTTTGTAAGAACTCTATCTTTAGATTAGAATAAGACAATCAGTGATATTTTTATTTATCGATCTTTCAAATAAAAAATGATAATATAAATCTAATATCTTTTATTTTTCATTTAAATCTAATAGCTTAGAGGTCACACTAATGGAGGAAATCAAAGCAAGAATGAAAATTTTACTAATTTGCCTGAAGTAAGAAAATTGGGCGTTGAGAATTTACCAAATTAGACAGGAAACAGCCCAACTCAAGAGACAATTAGTCTACGAAAATAATCCCCCAAAAAAAACCTACTGGAATTCACTAATGAATTCAGTACCTAAATTTAATTCCGGGAAAGGAAAAAAAAATTCAAGGAGTCGATTTTAATTGAAGTTCCCTACTCTAGAATCAGCTGCCTGAATTCAGGGCCAACGTGTTGATGGATCAAGTAATCTTCACCGTTGGAAACATTGAAAGCCATGTTCTGATGATGGTGCTGCATGAATTGTTGCTGGTGTTGCTGTTGAGCCCTTAACATTTCCTTCTGCCGCCGAAGCTCAAGCACCTTACGGTGAGAATTTGAATGTTTAGTGAGCACAAACGTCGGGCTCGCAGCGGGTCGGTATTCGGGCACGAGCCGCCCCGATTTATACCTCACCCCACATGCATTGCAAAGTGTTTTGGGACCCATGGGACCAGTCCTCCATTGTGGCGTCTTATCCGTAAAACAGTGTAGGCACTTCCGACTATCCGAATTGGCGGCGCCACCATCTTTTTTCTTCGACGACGTCTTTTTAGCAGGCTTTTTATTGGGGTGGTTCGAGGGAGGTGGTTGCACCGGGACGACGATATCGGGTTCGGAAGACGAAGTTGTTGGGCTGAGAACAAGGAGGCGGGATGCCCAGTTGCATGGCGCTGCCCGAGGGCGTTTGCTTCTGGCCTTGGCGGGCACCGACATATCCGGATGGAAAATCGAGTTGTTGGTATTATTACCGTGGTGGTTGTCGCCGTTACCAATGGCGTCATTAATTTGGTTGGGCAGAACGGGTTGGAAACCTCGGGTCTCTGATGATTCGTCAGGTCGGATGTGCATTCCTGATATTAGTTGCTGCTTTTGCAGATCATCACTTGAAAATGATTCTTCCACGAAATTCGACAACCATTCAAGTTCAGCTAAATCGTCACACTGTAAACAAAAAGAATAACAAATAATAATATTAAAAAAATACCATTTTCGTTTCCATTTTTTCCTTTGATAAAGTATTCATACAACTTTAACCAATATGCATATGACATGCACATGGGTTTTTATCTCTGTTTGGTTGCAAGGAAAATTACTATAAAAAACAGAAAAATACGTAAAAAATTTACTTGCTGTTATTTGAAATTTGAACCAAAATTCTGAAGAAATATAATTCCAAAATTTATTTTATAGGTTTGCATAAGAAACGAGGTGATTTTCAAAAATATTTTCTGATAAGTTTTCTTTAAAAGCCAATCATATTATTGCATGTAAGAGGGGAAATTACCGGCACATAAAGGTCAGTCGAGGAGTGGCCATCGGTAAAACCACGGTAACCAACACCGCCCTCTAAATTAGGTTCACAACCAGAAAACGACGACGAATTGCAGCTGTCGACGACGGTCACGGTAGAAGAACCCGTGGAATGTCCAGGAGCTGAGGAATCCAACGTTTGTTCAGTTATAACGGCATCTTCGTTGGAAAAATCGAGCAAGTCTTCCACGATGAAATGGTCAGCTGCGGCCGCTGGTTTTTCAGGCACTAATTGCGAAGCGCAGCTGCTTGCCTGAAAGAATTCTGGTGCGTCCATAACCGTTTTCTTTTCCTTTTTTTTTTCTTTATTTGGGAAGGAAGTTGGCGTTAAAGGGAGAGTATAGTGAGGAAAATGTGCGAGTGTAGAGAGAAGAGAAAGAACGAGAGAAGTCTGGGGAGTTGTGGTTTTGAAGAGAGAGAGAGAGTGTTTATTTGCGTTTGAAGGGGGCAGACGGACAGCTAAAATGGTTCATTTTGACGATGTTTAATTTACTACAAATTAATTAAGTTAAGGAATTTTAAATATATAATTAAGCTTTAATTCAGATAAAGCAAAATCTAGTGGGAAGTTACTTTATTGTCCTTTTCTTTCTGACTTTAGCCTTTCTCATTTGTTTTAAGGGTAAAATACATCAATTACAATTTAATTATGGTCGTATTTTAATTTGATCATGTTAAATTGTGTAATCAAATCATATGTTGTTAACATTTGAAAAAACAATTAACAAAATTAATATAATTACATATTTAATTATCATTATTTACATAATTTATGAATTCGCCTAATTTTTAAATTGTATTCAATTTCATTCCTTACTAAATGATCTTTTAAGCTTGTCGCTATAGCTTATGCACTATATCACAAAATAAATCTCTAGACCTATATTCTCATACTTAACTATAAATTTAGAGACGATGATGGACTATTCTATAATATAACAGAAAGTCCTAAAATATAATGAAATGATCTAGAATCTTACGAAAAATTCTAAAATATTCTAGAACATTATGGAAGGTTATGAAACATAACAAATATGTTATGAAACTTTGAAATAAGATTCTATAATATTGGAGAACATCATAATGGTCAACGACATAATTTTTTGATTAAAGGGTCTATTTTTTAAAAAATTTGAGGACCCCATTTATTTATCTTTTGAAAAGTACACAAATTCAGGTGATGTACTGTCATGAAGAAAATCGGTAAATAAAATACATTTCATGGTTTAGGCTTCTCATAGATTAGAACCTTCATTCCATTATCCCAACAATGACGATTATGATGTAATCTATTGATGGACGACATAGATCAAAGATTAATAAGTTTGAAAGTTTTGAAATAATTCAATGACTTGTAGGGGTATTCTCAAAATTTTAATATGATAAATTGAATAAGTGTGAATCTTACGATAAAATTTGGGGTTCGTATGTTTGCTATTCGTTGTATCCAAAGATTCACGACAATCATTGTAATATCACATGATTAGATTGTTATATTTAATTAATTGATTAAATTGATTATAACTATCTAAAATCTAATAATTTTCAACGAACAAAAGTATTTCATATAAGAAAAGTCGTCTGATATGTAATGCCTAATAATCTATTTGAGAAAACCAATTAATCAAATGATTTGTTTATAAGTTTTTTAAAATTAGATAATCTATTTATAATCTTATTATTAATCCAATCATGACCTGTAATATAATTTATCCTTATTTCTATCACACCGAAAATTATTATATCTATTTTACTAACATTTAATAACAAAATGCTTTTAATAATTCATGGATGTTTTATGTTTTTGGAAATGCAGATGCATGGTGCAACCATCAATGTGAAACAATGTTTGGACGTCGTTAGAATAACCACGTGGCAAGCATCAGCCATCAAGAAGTGGAGAGATCGGAGAAAGTGAAGAGTGGATAAGGTTTTAATTGTTCTTATATGTTGCTGTAAAGAACTAAAGATATTTCAGTTCTTTTATTTATTTATTTAAATATTTATTTTATTTAATTATAAATTCTGTATAGTTCTGTTATTTTTTTCTACGTTTTGCTTGAATTAAAAGAAAAGCCTGAAAAAAGTGAAGCTACCGAATGCATTGCTTGGCGTGGAGTTTTTTGTTTAACAGACTTTTTTCTTAATATTTTTCACTATATTTTTATTATTTTTTAATTGTAAAAAATTGGATTTTGCATGAATGGGTCCAATATGCACGTGGATGGAGCCTTTGTGCATCTCCGTTGCCACAATGCTTCCAATTCGACCAAATGAGATCATATTGTTGTGGAGCATATAAAAAATGGCTGTCCCTTTTTTCCCATATGTATGGGGTAAGGGGGAGGTAAGATAGTAGGCTACCCCAACACCAGGTTGAGAGCAGCTTCCGTAGGAGACCTCCAAATTATGAAATGCCCTCCGTGGGACTTGATCCCACGACCTCAAGGTTTAGAACCTTGTGCTCTACCAACTGAGCTGGATGGTCATTTCGTTGTGGAGCATATAGTTATTCCGATAACGTGAGGGCACGTGCTGGTTTTTGACCTGATTAATGATGAAAACACACGTGTCTTGCATCTACCGTCTCTCGGGACATCTCACGTGGGTCGGAGCATTAACGATTTGCTTTCGGGATGGTTGCCTATCTTTAGGCCCATTTCGGTACAACACTGAATCACTCACCGACCTCTTTCCTGTCCAACACTATTGGACACTGTCTTCGACTTGGAAAAACACAAGCACCAATAAGACATACTAAAATCTAACAGATATTATACCAACGTATGACTAAATAATAATTTTAATGTTAATTTTTTTAGTATTTAATTTATAATATTATATTTTGAGATAAAAATATTTTATGTGAATAAAAACCATTTGTTAACAAATAATCAACACTCTAAAATAGTTAACGTCTATATGGATGACACATTAGAGATCAAAATGCTCTATATGTTTAATATTTTTTTAATCAAAATTAGGTATGTGTGATAACCAAAATAACATTCAAATACATCATTTGAGTTCATTTAACATAATTAAATTAACCAATTATTTTTTCGTATGATCAATTATTAATCAAATTAAACTAAAATTTATTAATTAATTCGATTAAAATAAAATTCATAGTTTTAATAAGAAAAAATATTGCATGAAAGGCAGACATGATTTTTGGGGTAGATTTTGTCAAGGCATAATAACAAAGTATCTCTTCTAAAAGCCCACCTTTGTCCATTAGTCTGGGGCCTCCCTCTCTTTGCAGAAAAATTCAGACTAGGGCTTGAATTCATGTTCGAAATTCGGGCCATGAAGTCCAAGGTTTTTCTTTTCACCTTTTCCTGTTGGGTTTGAAGTTCTTCGGCAGAAATAGTCACATACGTCAGAGCCATGGAGGAAAAACAGTTCTTGAATGAAACAAAAATGGTGCAACTTGTCAAGCTCTTAACCCGAGTCAGATCTATCCCTGAAAGCATCAAGAACGAATGAAAAGAAACAGAATAATCTAATGGAGTGATCGAATCAAATGATTGAACAATATAAGGGGACATGTTGGCATTATATATGAAGACAGTGAAAGCAGCGGTATTGCTCTTTCAGGCTCAAAGAAGTTACTTTGTACTGGGAAGTTCAACTTAAAGAAGTAAATTTGCAGGCTGAGTTCTTTTGATGGTACACAAGTCGATGTTCCATTACAAATTTTCAACGGATACTTATAACAAAATAAACATATTAAACCTTGACCCTAATTATTTTTGTTTGACGTTTTCATGCTTTCGATAAAAGGTTTGCGATTAGAATGTATGGTGGAAACTTTCAAAGAGGAGATGGGCAACTATTCCCCCATTGAATCAAACAAAAATAAGCTCAAGGAGAGAAAAAAGCAACTTTTTTCAATACAAGAAAGCAGCCGATCAAAGAGACTTTTGCATGGTCTCCAAGAAATACCATGATTGATATTTCAAAAATCGCCAGCAAAGCTTAGCTGGTTTGCTCCTTCAAATATCACCAAAGTCGTTATTGTTAATTTTTAATGCTTAAAGCCCTTAGGTATTCCAACAATGTGAGATCATCTCCTCCCCCTGAGTTCTGATAGGGAATAAGCTAAAAGAAAAAAAGGGTTTTTGTCAATGCCATCCATCATTGCTTATATAGAATGTAAAAGAAAGAAAGGAAATCCTTCAACATCATCATTGCCACTTTGAAGGCAAGAGTTTGTCACAAGAAAGGTTAGAAAAGAAACGAGCCCCATCTAACTCCAAAAAATTATGTACAGAGAAGGATATTAGTAATAATTATATCTAATTATATAAAATAAAATATATTAATACTTTAAGTCAGGTCAAGTAGAAAAAATTTAATTATAAACACAATTTGACTTTATCCTTCACAAAATTCGATTCGAACTTAAAATGTAAGAACTCATTCAGTTAGTAATTTGAGAGTTCCTATACAAAAATGTACGGACATTAAACTTAGACAAGAAATTTGCATCTTGCCACATCCACAATCTTTATCAAACCAATTATACTGGAATTTTTTTTATCTATATCAAACCAAATTCAAAACTACAAATAGAATTTATTTTTTCTTATATCATCATGAGTTGCAGACATTGAAAATTAAAATCCTTTGATCATTGCCTGTCAAGTAAGAAGTGGAGAAAGGAGGAAACTCTTGGAATGCGAGTGTAAATGATAAAAAGATAGGCATTTTTGTTTAGCAGGTTCCCTTTTGCCTCATCGCCCTCGGCTTGCTTTTTTACAAATGAATATGGGATTGTAAAAGAGTGGTCCGACAAACAAGCATTATCATCATCAGGACATCAGGATTTTTATTACAGAGCTGTCCCCCTTTAAACATGAGCAATGTCCTTGTTGTCTAGCTGTTTGACCTAATGGATAGCTGCCGGGCGTGAAACCAAGCCTTTCACTGCCTTTGAAACCAAAACTTTCACATGCAAACCAAACTCCAAAAGGGTCAAACATTGGACATATACATCTCTCAATTGAACTAATATGCATGATTATAGAGACAAAAGTAGAATTTTACATTATAACTTGAATTTATAAAATTTTAGAGAATAAAAATAAATTATTAATAAAAAAATTAAATTATATGAGAATCTAAAATTAAAAAAAATGTACTCTCTGTCAGTCCGTTCGATACATCCATGTGCACGAATATATTCCCTTTGTGAACTGTGAATATATAACTTTTGAGCTTTGTTGTAGGTAAGCATGTGTTATTAAACAAGATATTTATATATAGGCAGAAAGAACAAGCAAGGAGCCTGCGCTTCCCTCTCTGGATAAAGAGCAGAAGATGTTTTGCAAGTCCTAATTGTAGGAAATGGAAATCCCACTCGAAGATTGAGTGATGTAGTAAGTGAACTTGTTTTTTAAGAGAACAGTGTTTTGTTTTTTAGCCTAATTAATAATAGAAATATAAGTGTAAAGAGAAAAGGGTCATTAATTCCTACAAGAGTAAGGGAAGACAAAATTTAATTCATATATGGAGGCATTTAAATTATCTACAATTTTACACTCAATAGTATGTATTCAGCAGACCATCAAACAAAACATTTGAGTGATGATAATCATTTCAATAACTTATAACTAGAAACCAAGGGAAAACAAAAAGGGAAATTAACCATAAATTCAGAACGAAACCATGCTATAAAACCATTATTAGAAAGCCTAAACAGTTGAAGAAAACTTTAGGGTTGAAACACATGAAGTTATTCTGAAAGCGGACCATAGAGTATTCAATACGTTTGTTGCAGATGGCCGAGAGGCTGGGTCACCGGCGGTGCAATGGAGAGCTAGATTCATGGTTTCAACGATCTCGATCTGGTTGACGTTCGATGCATGGGCTGGCCTGATCATTGGATCAACCCACGTATCAAGATGACATTCTGAATAGCAGTAACGTGCCCAATCTACTATGCTTTGGTGTTGCTCTCCGAATTCAGCGTCGGCGGGGCTTTTCCCCGTTAATAATTCAATAAGAATGAGGCCAAATCCATAGATATCACTCTTTTCACTCATATCTTTGCTTTCTCTGGCTGCTGCAAACGGCGGAAAACATGCAGGAGGACATTAGGTAACGTGCACGTGCATGGGATCCATAGAAATATTAATTAATATCTAGGGTAATTATGTATTTAGTCACCCAATTAATTTTGTAAATCTATTTTGGTCATCCAATTATTATTTTTTCAATATCATATCCAATGTTACATTTTAGTCGTGTTACTGTAAGATAATGTTATATCATTGTTGAATAAAAAATAAAAAAATTACTATGTCAACAATACTGTTTATTTTTTAATGATGAGTGACAAAAATAAAATCTGGACGTAACGTTAAGTATGATTTTAGAATAATAATAATTGAGTGACTAAAATAAAAATAAATAAATAACCAAATATATTGTTTACCCTAATACCTATTACAAATAACAAATAAGCACAACATACTTTTAATTTAGACATGAGAGTGAATGTTTAATTTTAAAGATGACATTATTCAAAAATAAAAAATCATAAATTCTTAATATTAATAATTGTTTGAAGTGTCAAACAGGCAGACATAATAATATCTCATAATTTCTGGTTTGACCTAATGAATATTTAGCCAATATTTTTTTTCTTTTCATATGAGACATAATTACATAGTTAGGTTTATATTGTACTATTACATTTACACTGTTAACAGGGAAAATATCAATTAAAAGAAGGCAATACTGTGTATTATTCACGTACCTGGGGCAACGTACGCCGAAGAGACGACGGCCTTGTTTTCTATGGAAAGTGGCACGGGAAAGCTCACCCGTAACCGAGGCTCATCTCTTCCGTCGACTATAGCACTCTCCGGTGACATGTCTCCCACAATTACACTTGGCGAACAGTAAGAATGCAAGAACCGTAGAGCTTTGGCAATCCCCATGGCGATTTTTCGCCGTTTCTCCCATGGTAAGTTGTGAAGGGTTTCAGTTAAAAGTTTCCCTTCTATGTACTCGTAAACCAAATATGCACACTTTCCTGACCGACAGGTTCCGATCAGGTTAACGATGTTTGGATGCTGAAGCTTGCCGAGATGCTTGATTTCAGACCAAAAACTCGATGGAATTGAGTTCACTTCCTTCATTTCTTTCACCACAAACGGCTTGTCTCTGCATATTCCATTTACTTCTTGTGCAGAGAGTGTGATATCATCGACTGTTATTGACTTGAAAACTTTGGAATCAAAGAATTGCAATTCCCAGATCCCGTCTTCGTTTTCCACTCTTTTAAGCGCCAAATTGTTTCTTCGTCGAATGAGTATGAAGCCAATAGCAACAACAGCAAGCAAAACTAAAGCCCCCAGAGAACAAATAACAAAGAACCACCGATTCCGATTCTTAAACTTTTTGCATGGTGGTAAACCGATCGTTTCATCTCCTCCACAAAGATCATTACCAGCCACTGCACTTGAATTTATAGCTAGAAAGGCTCCGGTAGTAGGCAAACTGCCATGTAAGTTGTTGTGAGAAATGTTCACTTGAATTAATGATTCCATTTTCCCCAACTGCAGTGGTACTTCACCAGATAATTGGTTCTCCGACAAATCAAGCTGACCAAGAACCGGCATTTCAGCGAAACCTTTTGAAATTCGACCACTGAGTTGATTATGACTCAAGTCTATGTTGCGGAAGACGGCTATCGGATAGAGCAAAATCGCAACTGATAATTTGAGAAAATAAAAATGAAGATAAAAAGAGACACAAAATTTACGTGGAAAACCCCTAAATAAAATAGGGTAAAAACCACGGACAACGGTAGAAGAATTTCACTATGAGAAAATAGGAATTACAACCTCTCTCGATCTACCAAAGAGAAAACAATGATAATTCTCTCTCGATAAAAAAGAGAAAACAACTCTCAAGAAACTCTCTAAATTCTCTCTAGTATTGGAAGAAAGCTAGAATGCTTTGGGATGATTTTGAAGCTAAATGAGCTAGGGTATTTATAGTTGAAACCTAAAGACTAATTTGTAAATACCTTAAATTACAATGGCTAAATTATGATTCTACCATTATCTAAAATTCAACATTTTCTGCCACCTAAAGCAATTTCCACCTTCGGTGGATTTTTTTTCTTTCTTTATTATCACCTTTCGGTGATTGAGAAGACTTTTCAACAATCTCCCACTTGAAGATTTGATTGGAACAATCATATCTTCACATCATTCTTTCTACCTTGTACCTTCATGTTGCTTACGTCTCTAACAGGCCACAAGAGGATTGACACCAGGTAAATTTATCAGCGTTGATCGCCTTCGTCATGAAATCTGCTATGTTGTCTTTGGTATGGATCTTCTGTATATCTATCGTTCCTTCTTCCACCTTTTCACGAATGAAATGGTACTGAACTCGTATGTGCTTAGTCCTTGAATGAAATGCTGGATTCCTTGCTAGATGCAAGGCGCTTTGACTGTCACAAAACAAAGAGACATACTCTTGATTGTGCCCAAGCTCCTCCAATAGCATCTTCAACCAAATTGCTTCTTTACTGGCTTGTGTAGCTGCTACATATTCTGCCTCTGTTGTGGACGTAGCCACAACTGACTGCAATTTTGAAACCCAGCTTACAGCTCCACCAGCAACTTTGAACACATATCATGTAGTAGATTTGCTTTTATCCAAATCCCCTGCATAGTCAGAATCTACATACCCATTAATTAGTAAGTTTGATCCTCCGTAACATAATGCAACATTTGAGGTCCCTTTGATGTATCTTAGGATCCTCTTTATTGTATTCCAATGCTCTTTGCCTGGATTCGCCATGTATCGACTAACCACTCCCACTGCTTGTGCAATGTCTGGTATTGTGCATATCATAGCGAACATTAAACTTCCCACTGCTGATGCATACGGTACTCGAGACATCTCCATCCTCTCTTCTTCACTGCTAGGACTCATACTGGAGGATAATTTGAAGTTAATAGGAAGAGGGGTAGAAATTGGCTTATAATCTTGCATGCTGAATCGTGACAAGATTTTCTTCAAGTAATTCTTTTGTGAAAGCCAAATCTTCCTATTACTTCTGTCTCGGTGAATTTGCATCCATAGAATCTTGTTTGCTGATCCCAAGTCCTTCATTTCAAATTCCCTTGCCAGTTGTGCCTTCAATTCTTCAATATGATCTTTGTTGGGTCCTGCAACCAACATGTCATCTACATACAACAGCAATATAACAAAATCGTTATCACCAGACCTCTTGAAATAAGCACAAGGGCCTGCATTAAGTATGTTGTATCCAAGGCACATGATGAAGGAATCAAATCTCTTATACCAACACCTCGGCGCCTGTTTTAGACCGTACAGAGATTTGTTCAACCTGCAAACCAAGTTCTTCTTTTCGTCTTCTTCAAAACCTTCAGGTTGGAGCATATAAATCTCTTCTTCAAGATTTCCATGAAGAAAAGCTGTTTTAACATCTAGCTGCTCTAGATGTAAGTCCAATGTAGTATACATTGCCAAAACTACTCAAACTATTGTTAGTCGAACCACAGGAGAAAATATTTCATTGAAATCAATACATTCCTTTTGAGCATATCCTTTGACCACCAGTCTTGCACGATACCTCTCAACTTGATCGTCACCATTTCTCTTGATTTTGAAGACCCATTTGTTACCAATTGGCTTCCTTCCTTGTGGTAGTGACACAAGGTCCCATGTATTATTTTTATGAAGGGCTTCGATTTCTTCTTGCATCGCCATCATCCACAGTGAAGCATCTGAGCTGTTTATTGCCTCCTGGTATGTTGATGGCTCACCGTCCTCTGTTAAAAGGCAGTATGCAATATTACCTTCTATAACATAATCCGAGTGCCAATTGGGACGTCTTCTCACACGATATGATTGACGAGTTGTTGGAGTTTCAGAACTCTCTAGTTCTTGTTCATCATGTGCTGGTTCTGCTTCAGAAGAATCTCATTCTTCAAACTCTTTTTCCACATGTATCTGAGTAGTCTCTGACTTTTCAGCGTTATCATTTTCTTCTTTTCTTTGTAGCTTATCTTCTACAAAGATAACATCCCTGCTAATGATCACTTTGCGGGCAGTGGGATCCCACAAGCGATACCCCTTTACTCCATCAGCATACCCCAAGAATTTGCATTTACTGGATTTTGGATCCACCTTTGAAATTTCTTGGGCGTTGTACATCACGTACACAATACTTCCAAATACATGGAGGTTTGAATAATCAACTGGTTTACCAATCCACATCTCCATTGGTGTCTTCAGCTCTATTGCAGTTGATGGAGCTCGATTCACCAAATAATAGGCGGTATTGACTGCTTCTGCCCAGAATGATTTTTCTAGGCCTGCATCCCTCAACATTGCTCTTGTTCTTTCTAACAAGATTCTGTTCATCCGCTCTGCCACTCCATTTTGTTGAGGAGTGTTCGCCACTGTGAACTGTCTTTTGATGCCTTCTTTCCTGCAAAAGTCGTCAAATTCTTCACTTGTGTATTCTCCTCCATTATATGTTCTGAAACACTTGATCTTATTTCCAGAATCAAGTTCCACCCGCGCTTTGAAGTTTTTGAAAGTTTAAAACACGTCTGACTTCTTCTTAATAGGGTGCACCCAACATCTTCTGGAGTAGTCATCAATAAATGAGACAAAGTATTTTGCTCCACCTAGGGACGTTACTGGTGCTTGCCATACGTCAGAGTGAACCAATTCTAGAACACTTTTGCCTCTAGAATTTGATGTGTTGAATTTCAACCGGTGCTGCTTACTTGTTATGCAATGCTCACACAAAGGAAGTGATACCTTTGTTAAACCTGGAAGTAGCTTTTGCTCCACAAGGACTTTCATTCCTTGTTATGACATGTGTCCAAGTTTCTTATGCCATAGCATTGCAGAATCTGAACTACATGAGGCAACAGAGGCTTCTCCTTCTAGCAATGTCTCACCCTTCAGCATGTACAAGCTTGTAGCTATCTTTTCACCTTTCAGCACCACAAGCGCTCCACGAAACACCTTCATGATTCCTTTCCGTGTTTCAATCTTGCTTGCATTATTATCCAACAATCCGTAGGATAATAAATTTTTCTTCAGACCTTTCACGTGTCGCACATCTCGAACAACTTTAATTGTTCCATCATACATCTTCAATTTGATGGTTCCCACGCCAATGATTTCTAAGGCATGATCATTGCAACTATACACAGATCCTCCTGAGACAGGTTCATAATGATGGAACCATTCTCTTCTTGAGGTCATGTGATATGTTGCTCCCGAATCAATGAGCCATATATCTGCAAATCGTTTTCTTCCTTCCACGGTGGTTGACGCTTCACAGCATAGAGCATCTCCATCATCTGAAGTGTTTACGGTATTGCCTTGTGGATTGGAGTTTTTATTTAGACTCCAACAATCCTTCTTCAAGTGACCCTTCTTTCCACAGTGGTAGCACTTTAAATTCTTCTTGCTCCTCGACTTTGATCTACCATGTTTGTGACTGCTGCTTTGGCCACGTTCTGTTAATCTCCCTCTCGTCGTTGTCAACGCTTCAGCTTGTTGCAGATTTACTTGTCTGTCTTCCTTGTTCTTGCGCCGATTTTCTTCTTGTAGAACAACAGCTGCAACGTCATCGAAGACTAGACTGGTGACATTACTGTTTGTCAAGTTGATGATGAGTTGATCGTACGAATCTGGTAGACTTTGAAGTAGAAGTTCAGCACGTTCTTGTTCTCCTATTTTACAGCTTAAGGATGTAAGCTGAGAAAATAAGGTGTTCAGTGTATTTAAGTGCTCTGTCACTGAAGTAGATTCTGGCATACGGAGAGTGTACAATTTTCTCTTAAGGAAAATTTTATTGTGCAACGATGTGGCCTCGTACAGTTTGGTGAGATGATCCCATATCTCCTTAGTTGTCTTCTTCTCCTCGATACTTGACAATACTTCATCTGCTAATGCTAGATGAAAGTTTGTCATAGCATTTCCGTCCATTTCGATCCATTTGTTGTCGTCTGTGAAATCTACTGGCCTTTCACTGATAGCTGCTAGACAACCGTCTTTCCTCAGGATGGCTTTCATCTTCAATTTTCACAATGAGAAATTTCTCCCATTGAACTTTTCAATATCAAATTTCGTTGACATTGCTTCGTTTACGGATAGCTCCCACTATTTCACTATCGTGAATAGTTCTCTGGAACCTTCACATAATGGGTAATAACTTCTTACTTTCTTATTGGAGGATCCACCTTTTGGTGGCAACCACAAAGACAATAAGCAGATATTACACACTCTAATCTAGCTCGGATACCAATTGTTGCGGAAGACGGCTATCGGATAGAGCAAAATCGCAACTGATAATTTGAGAAAATAAAAATGAAGATAAAAAGAGACACAAAATTTACGTGGAAAACCCCTAAATAAAATAGGGTAAAAACCACGGGCAACGGTAGAAGAATTTCACTATGAGAAAATAGGAATTACAACCTCTCTCGATCTACCAAGGAGAAAACAATGATAATTCTCTCTCGATAAAAAAGAGAAAACAACTCTCAAGAAACTCTCTAAATTCTCTCTAGTATTGGAAGAAAGCTAGAATGCTTTGGGATGATTTTGAAGCTAAATGAGCTAGTGTATTTATAGTTGAAACCTAAGGACTAATTTATA